TGTATAAGATAGAGCTTTATATAAAGCGTAATTGTACATTAAGAAAATATCCCAGCCCAGTCCAGATCAAGTCCATAAATCCGATATTAGCCCATGTGTCCGATATCAATCTATAAAGCCCTCTTCAGAGTCATGAAACACATGCAATGGCGCCGAATGCAGGAAGATCACAGGCCAGTGGTTGGGAAGTCTTTTGGGTCTAGTGGCGGTGGAAGCATCTCAGCACTGGCGTGGATGTCCACTTGGCTTCTCCAACTTCGAGATTCTTTCCCCAAACCTTGTCACAGCTTGTGGGGACTGTGGCCCTGAGGACATACTGCCCTTTGCCCCTGGTTGAGGCGGTCATAGGCCTGATGCAGCCCGGGCTGCTGCCACCTCCTGCCCTGGTCCTGGGAGCCTTCCACCTGCTTGCGCCTCCTCAGTTTCCAATCTCTCCCAGGGACTGAGCAGAGAGAGAGAGAGACAGACTCTTTCGCCTCCAAGGAGGACTACTGGAGTTCCCATAATCCTCAGGTGAAGGCCATGCCCACACAGAGGCCTCATTGGCTATGACCTGATTGACAGGCTAGAATTTATAACAAACGATTATATAACTACCACATTCACTAATACCATCATTCACATGCATCACTTTTCTGGACTGCCTTATCCGTTGTCCAACTTTCACATGCATACGAGCTGATTGAATAGACCATGGTTTGGATCGAGAGCATCTTAGTCCTGAAGGTGACATCCTTCCTCTTCAACACTTTAAAGAAGTCTTATGCAGCAGCTCTGCCCAAGGCAGTACCACCTCATTTGATTTCTTGACGGCTTCTTCCATGAGCATTGATAGTGGATCTAAGCAAAATGAATGCGGTGACATTAGTCTTGTTTCTGTTTACCATGATGTTGCCTATTGATCCAGTTGCAAAGATTTTGGTTTTCTTTACATTGGGTTGCAGTCCACACGGACAGTGACAGTCCTTGATCTTCATCAGCAGTAGCTTCAGGTGGCTCAAACTGACAGGGAAGTGAT